ACCCGCGACCCGCAGACTGCGAGTCGAGCGCCCTAACAACCTGGCCATGCCGGGCCGTCTATTTATACTGAAGATCATCGTTCAATAAACAATTGCATCTGATCTTGTTTATAACAAACGTAATTGACCACTAATTTGTTTATTAAATGCAGCCCACAGATTTGATATTTCAAATGAATGCTCACGTACCAAATCGTGTAAAATTTGAATAAAGAATCGCAGAATCTTCATCGATAGAGCAGACATGACATTAATTCGCGCTACTACAAAAAAGTCAGTTTGGAAGTTTAAGATATCAGCTGTCGCTTATTTTTTTTAAACACGTTGGTTCTTATGTTCCAGATCATAAAAAGGTTTGTGTTATTTACTACTTTTGTTTCTGTACGTTAGGTTTTTACACTTTCATCAAGGATTAACAACTGCTGTAGCTAGGCCTCACCAGCTAATGTAACCATTAACAAACGTGGGAAACCAAACGTAGTGTAATGAATACTTAGTTTATTTTCCATTTAGATCAGTTATTTGCTAGCTGATATAACACAATTTGCTGAAAGGAAGTCTCTATAAGAAACAGAAATTCAGAGTTTTAACAGTAAAGCTTATAATTAAGCAGCTCTTGTTAATATCATTGACTAATCCTTCATATATCAGATTTGTATAATCAACAGGTTTTCGGAAAGGTTGGAAGGCTAGGGGGAGGGGCCGTTTATAAGGCATCACGAATGTTTCAACAACAACAACAAAAATATACGGCACCCAAACGTACACGAAATAATATTTTGTTCTGTAGGCCAAATGCAATTTTTAATTACATTTTTAAGATCAGAAGAAACCATTGGCGTATTCTGCTACTTTTATTGGTGACAAAATAGCAAGCATTGTAGTTAGTGTGTGTGTGTGTATATATACAATCCCGAAATAAATAAAGTATATTAGCTTTTATTAAATCTAATTTTTGTATACATATACACTTATATATACACGCTCACATAAGCACACAGAAAACAGCGTTGAAACCTTAAGCATTCAAAGAGTCTCTTTAAAGGCAAGTTGATGGAAAATCTACATAAGACAGTCTTTTGATCGGTAGTCACCGAAGAAGCCACATAAAGCAATTACATCCTACTTACAGTCTATAAACGTCCCAATGTGTAGCCAAAACGTGTCTTGGGGTGTTTATGATAGCTTAACCTAAAAAAAAATATAAAGGAAAACGTATACCACATATACAAGCCTGCCTACAGTACGAACTCTCTGCTAAAACAAGAAACCCCTTAGAGACCATTGCCATAGCAACAACATGCATGCTAACCATTAATTTTACATAAAAAAAGGCACGCTAGATATATCAAAGTATATCTTATTAATACTTCTCCTCTGTGTTTACCACCCTATTAACAAACAGAACTGGTTTCCTTTTGTGGCAGTAGTTACCTATGGAAGTTCGCTGCCTTAAACTGAGGGCATACTTTTACGGTGGAACTATATGCAGTGGTACATCAAAGTTCAACGACTTTTTACCGTTCGAATATTGCTTAAACAGGGTATGCTTACCCGACACACTGGTATATACATTATATATATATATATATATATATACACACACACAC